ATTTTCAACTTTGGGAAGAGGAAGAAGTCACACGGAGCTTAGAAAGGAAGGTGGGGTCGGTTCTTGCAAGATCTTTAAACTCCTGACAAACGAGAAGTCGATTCTGCTTCTGGGCCTCAGACAGGATGCGTCGCATGTGGAGTTCTTCCTTTAGAATCAGCTGACAGGTCCCATAGCCTATCCCAACAATGTCGCACAAATCGTTGATGGTACGACGTCGATCTTCGTAACAGTTTCGGGCGTTGTGCTCGAAGATGGTCGTCCAGAACGCTCGTCATCATCATCAGAGGTTCGGCCATTTTTAAAACATGAATGCCACATAAAAGTTTGTGAACTACCCATTGCGGACTCCCCAAATGCTTGCTTTAGCATTTCATAGGTTTCCGTAGCCGTTTTGGCGAGTCTTTGGCAAAATTTGATGCACACGCCATTCCGAAATCGCAGGACGGTCGGTGTAATGCACTACCAAAACGCCCGTAACTAAGAAACAAATGCTAATTCGATGATGCCGGCTGGCACACTGATTCACTATGAATGTAGGCCTCACCCCCTAAAGTCAGAAGCTCGTACTACATCCGGTTCGCCCGCTATTGACACAGTCTTTAAACTTTCCGATCGCACCTTGTATATTAACTATAAGTGTCCTTTTCTATCAGCACGGTGTTATGAAACATTCTGACGACATGACAACTTTGTTTGTAACTCAGCTGATAAGTGGGGGTAGAACTTAGAGTCATCAGTAGTCTAACTTTGTACCACCACAGTTATTTTGCTTTCAGTATACTGTTTATAGAGTGGCAACAAAGTTCTAAAGAATAAACTTTCATCTATTCGTACAGAATATACTTCACAAAGTAGTACTTTATAATCTTAACACCAGATCGTATTGTTACCCTGTAACACGCCCGAAACATTAGTGCTTATAAGTCACAGAGCGTCTTCATTTCCTTCTGTAGAAAAACCTGTCACTTAGAAGCGGATACACGTCAGAGGAAATTGCATTGGCTTGACGCAAGGCATCGTTATGTATGAAATTCTTTCCAGTATGCAAAGCGGTTTTGTACACAATATCAGTACGCTGTTGGCTGTAGATAGCAGGGATGCACACTCTTCTCTTTGTGTAAAAAGTTCTGCGTAGCGTTTGTCAGCCAATGGAATAACTTTCGCTACGTTTCTATGCAAATCTGTATAGTGTGTACGAAAAATTCTAGATCCAATACAAAGATTTACTTTTATCAGCGTGAAAATAATTATGGCATTATTAGAAAGTCTTGCGAATTTAATTAAATATAATTATAACCAGTTGATCTTTTTAATGGTGAAGTGTAGTGTTTTCTTCGCGGTACGGACTGGATTCTTAAATATTATTTATTGTTAGAAAAGTTTTGAAGGAAATTTCGGTAGGAGTTTCCGAAATTGTCGTAGAGAATGTGAGTGGAGACAGAATGAATTCATGCACAATTTTAGCCGGAAAATCTCCACAGTAGAGATCGCTTGGGGACGGTGGGTTCAATAATATCAGAAGTTATTTCAAACAACAACGGGAGATGAAGATATCAATTGGATTAGCCGGATCAAGATTAAAACCATATAGCGGGTTTTTCTTTTATAAAACAGTAATTAACTTCAGAAGTCTGCAATACAAGAAATTTCTTGAATATTTAAACAAAGATGAAGACATTGTACCGGTGGTTACGCAATTTTAGAATGACGACGGACATGTCTGCTTTAAGACTGGAGGCTTCTGGGCAATTCGAAGAACACGGCTCAGTAGTCCGAAATTCCCGGTACTTGTAACAAATTACACGAACGCGCCAATGAACATTGTGGAAAAATATGAATCTATTTCATTTGCATATTAAAATACAACCCAGTTAGAAGCTGAGCTGGATACAAGCCACAGACAATGAAATCAGAAAAAGAAACTGGCACCGCTTTTGGACACTCGAAGAGAGATGGAGTGTTCCAGCTGATTAATAATTACCATGATGAAGACGGAAAAGCGTTGAAAAGAATATTTGGGGTAAGAGAGAGGAATGACAGTAAGTTAACAAAAGGATATGAAAAATTTTATAACTGCTTCATATAATATTCTCTAGCCGATTAAATCAAGGATTGGCGGGGATTGTAGAATTTATGGAGGGGGTAGGTGAAGTTAATAGAACATCTTAATCACATAGCCAAACGCAAGAGACTACTTTAGGGATTTAGACACAGATGGGAAGATAATATTAAAGTGGATAGGAAAATAAAAAGGTGTGGTTATCGATTCAAAAAAGACGATAGCAAAATTAGTGGAAATGTCATGTTTTATGGGGATATAAGGAGGAATATGGGAGGAGAGTTTTGTTAAGCAGTTATTGCGAAAACTATTTCCCCCTCTCCTTCCTAACTCCCTTCCCCTCATGCGCAACCTAGCGGCCACGCAGATAATGAAACAGCAGAGATTAGAAATGAAAATGTCCCGCTCGTGCTGTGACTATTATGAGAGTGGAAGTAATGAACAGACGAGCTAGTGAACCAAATTCACTGTAATTTTGTTTGCACAACTGCCAGAGAGTTATGGAAATGAATTTCTGAAGGCTGCAACGCATAAACTGAGATACGACGGCCAACTCAAACAAGAACTCGAATTGGGAACAGGGAAATACGGTTTCATGGTTAAATGGCCGACAAGTATCGAACTATTTCTGTTAACCAGCTCCGTTATTGACGTAATGAAAGGTATGTCATTGAGAGTAATTTTAAATTCACTTTTAATTAACCTATTGCATGTCATGACACATCGGGCCTAGGGTAAACGAATAGGTGAATTCGGAATTATTATTATTATTTAGTGTTCTGTCTGACGACAGGTCCATATGAACAGGATCCTTCCATCCTTTTCTCGGACTGGGACCTGTTCATATACGTTCTTGGCAGATGATCCAGAAGTGGGTTGCCATTGCCTTCTTCTGTGTGTGAATGCTAAATTTTGTAGCTCTAAACAACGCATTTGCAGACCTGTACAACAAACGGAACTACTGTCAGGGAAGACCTTTATCTTCGACTGCTAAACGTACAAAAGAGTTTACGAACTGTCGAATAAGAATTTGGAAATACCCAATCATTCTGGCCAAACATTAAGTTAAAATTCTATTTAAAGTATCAGCACTATTGTCTAATTTACTGTACAATATTTACAAAGACTTTATGACAGTGAAACGCGTATTAACAAGGAGAAACAAACGCAGGACAGTATAGTGAAATAAAATGTTATGAAATGGTGAAAAGTGGTAATCGTTTCGGATAGGATAAAAAATTACATTAACGAAGAACTACCGGAATAAGGAATTATAAATGAGACGCGAATAAAGACCTAATGATTTGTTGCTATGAGAATGCAAGCAAAACTTAACTAATTTGATTGAAATTGTTGACTCTGAGATGATCCAAACGAGTAAGTCTCTTCACTGAACTCAATCTACGATTCCAATAAATATTTCTTTAGAATACAATAAAGAAAACAATTAAATTCACTGTTCGTTGATTGTTATTGAATTTGGCGAGAAGTCAAAACTGTATGGCTGAATGAATAAACAGACATTAACCAAGGCTTCACTTATTAGATACATCCAAATAAAATTATATACACACGCGCATGTGTACATAAAAGCTTGTTTAATATACGCTTCGAAGTCTTATTGCAACACAACACTGTATTAACGGACTGAAACATATATTATTTCAAAGCAGCTTTTGTCAAGACTTTACGAATACATCCATACATACATATATACATAATACTGAGCGTCACATGTGTTATATAGACCTACTAACACGATGCTGTTAATTCTTGAAAAATACATAGAATTATCAGTCCATTATTTCTGTCTCCAATTTTGTAAACTGATATAATACATAATTGTGGATTAAAGGGAACTCGTCCTTTGGTTCTGTGACTTGTCTGATTTGATTTTTAACAAAATTCTGCTTATATTTTGAGTTGAATAAATGCCAGTTAACGAGGACTGTAGTTCAGTGGTCCCTGCCACATCAACCTTCAACATACGTAATCTCGATGTGATAAAACATTTCTGCACGTTGAAGTTTTACTGACAGCTGTACGATCTAAAACTTAATCATGGCGGTACAAAAAGGCTTATGATTTATTTCTGTTTATCACCGTTGCTAATGAGCTCAGAGTCCTGACATAAAATGTAACAAGGCCTAAAGAACCTGGCAGAAAAGGAATCTTATTTTCTTTTTTTAAATAAATCGGCCCTGTCCCTAGAATAGTGTGTGAGAAGTAATGTCAATTTTCCATTACTTTAAGGACACTGTTTAAAGCGGAATCGTAGAAGAAATGAAATAATTAACAGAAAATAATCTGTTTATATATTTATCGATTTATCTTAGCATTTGTATGAAAGTAATATTTCTGTTGCAGACGGAAAAGAATTAAGCTCGACTGATGAAAGGAAGTTAGAAAAAAACAAACACGTGATTGAATAAGTATTGGCGTATAAATATATGAATTAATAAATAAAATAAAAATAATATGAAAGTAACGGAAAGATTACGTTAAAATGTGTACTGCTCTGTAATAAAACAAATGTACATTTTTGTAGCACGGCTGTGATGCTAACTACCAGGACACAAATTCATAAATAAAAGTCCCATAAAATATGAAATTTTTGTTTATCTAAAATGAAACACCTATATTAAAGAATAATTTGTCTGAAAGGGAAAATATCCTATTTATCTTGATTTTTTTTTTACGATAAAATTTTACTGGGTTTCTTAACTTTTGACATGTTAAAATTGTATTTCATTTTGAAATATGTCCTGTTTCTCTGGTGTAATTATTAACGTCTATTCCTAAGTTCGAATTTTTATGTACATTATGTCTTCGGGGTACGTATAAATGAAGTCAGCCCTAAAGTTATTCTAAATTAGGATTCAAATTTGTATCAACCAATCAAATTACGCTTGTTGAGTCTAATAGAAACGAAACTGACCTCGTCTTCTTGCGAAGTTGCGAGCTCCGGTTCGTTCTCTTCCAGTTTGGAAAGTAGTTTATCCTGTAACGAAAGAGACGTACAAAATCAGATAAATACAATAATGACGGATCATTCGGGCACCGGACGCTGTGACGTCCTTTGGAGTCACTGAAGAAGCTACACAGATTTTATACAACGTAGAATCTAGAAACAGCTATCATTTTGTGTGTTCAGAAGACGGCCGGATCATTCGTGTTAACCGTGTCAGCCCGGCTAACACTCTGAAAAAAAAAGTAAAATAAAAAATATTCTGTCTCATTTTCCTTCAATGGTAGTCCATACATTGGAAAACAGCAAAATCTATCATGTAAAATTCGTCGTTGAACTCCCGTCCTATTTTTTCCCCTCGTCATTCCGTCCCGAATAGCATGACCTAAGTTAACACTTCCTAATTCCGCCACTAGATGACAGTTGCTTACATCAACACAAAATGGTGGGCATGTTATTAAGGAATATACATCTGACCGTCTAATACACTTCATAGTATTTTGACGTTGATTTAATAGACAATCCTACTGTATCAAAATACAATAAGACAGCTTCCAATCATGTCATTACATTCATTTTCATAGTATTTATATTATTATTCAGATCAACATAACCTAAAACAACCCAGAAGTCAGCCATCTTCAACATAACCTAACAAACTATTACAGTATCCTTAAATAACGTAACAAGACGTGAACTATTACATTCTGTAGTCATGAATCTTTGAGTTATACATATTATTGTGTGTGTGGGCGTATCCGTCCCTCCGTTGTGATAATTACTGTAAATAGTTAAACGTTTGTCTTTCGTTTCAATGCTCGTGTTGTCTAAAAGTGTTAAGAGAAAATTACGCTAATTAATTGCAGGAGTCAGGTTCCCGGAAGGATGGAGATAGCACAGGGTAATTTATTGGTACAAACGGAACTTTGAATCCAGAGAAAGAACAGCGCGTAAGAAAATAGAAGGCGCTGGGTTTACAAAGAAAGAAAAGAGATCATAAAATATATGAATAGTGACAGTGTTACTGTAATTGTTTTATAAAAAAATTTCGACATTGTCTAGTCCTTGCCCAATAATTGTTCTTACTCTAAATTTCTATATTTGTTTAAATCTTGTCAGTCTAATCACAATAAAATTCTTATTAAATATTAAAATATTGCTATAATTAACATTTAAATATTTAAAATATATTAAAATGATGTTTTCTATCGAAATGTTCGATTTACAATTAGATCATCACTTTTTTACACGACATGTTTCAGTTCTAAAAGAACCATCTTCAGGTGTATAAAATTATATAAACTTAAATATAATTTCTTAAATGCAACTTTTAGTCAGATGTTTATC